TAAGAGGAAAGTCATATTCCCGGCGTTTAAACAAAATGAAACTTAAGAATTCACTTTGTTTTTCCTCAAGGTTGGCTGGGAGGTGCTGGGAAACCGTCGTACGTCTACGATTTGAAAAATTATGGTGGTACAAGAACCGACACAACCAGCTTTTAGAAAATTTGAAGCTGCCAATGTCAGGGTATGTATTTTTAAATTCATTAGTTTTGGCTAATGTTTTGGCCTTTCTTACAACCATGTTTTGGGTAACAGCATACTGCTCATTGCGACGTTCATTAATCCACTTAACAAGTCTTTCTTCTAATAACGGGAACTGGGCCCAGCGACCAGAGTTAAGCGTTAAAAGGTAAGGAGCGGCACTCATAAGTTCATATTTTTTGTCTAGCCACTCACGAACTTGTTTTGGCTCGATTTCAAATCGTCTTGCGGTTGCTCTCACGTTTTTAACATTCTCATAATAACTGATAACCATGAGTTTTTCCCTGGCACTCCATGAACGACGGCTTTTATTAGTAATACAGGCACTTTTTCTGTTGTTGTTCCTTCGCGATACCATTTTTAGTGTTGAAAAAGTTTGTGTGCGTGTAAAGTTTGTGTGCGTGTACAGGTATGTGTAATGTTTTTTTTCTTTTTTTTTTTTTTTTATACAATTTTTTTTTTTTTTTTTAAAAAAAAAAAACTGATATTGATCGGGACCGCTACACATTATATTGGTTACTGAATCCACGAGGCCACATTCGAAATTAGCAAAGTCAGGACATTGCAGTTACGAAGTCAGGCCAAAAAACAAGATGTCAGCTGATAATATGAGCAAGCAAATAATGCCCAAAGTGCAATTGGATTTTTTACAATAACTTCAAAGATCTTTTATACTGCATCGCTATGTATGACTCATACCGATACAATTTCTTGCATAATGTGATCACATTGACCAATTAGCGTTAGAGTTTATTAGAGTTTATTTGCAGCCAATAAAATTTTAAAAAAAACGAACCGACATATAGACCCCTATCAATA